TACAGATATTGATCCAAAAATGACACAAAAATAAAAAAGAGCCATTGAAGTCATTCACCTGATTCCTCGTGTGGCCCTGGTGAGCATTGTTCTATGTCGCCTCATTGTTCTCCAAATGCCAATGGTGTGTCAAGTTTTGACCTTGCGGCTGCGCCGCCCTGGGAAGGGGAGAGCCAGCATGCGAAAGACGGTGCAGCACCTCGTGAGGGTCAAAGTCAATAGGTGAGTTCTATTCCAAGTCACCTCGAAATGTTGACATTTTAGGGATCTATATAATACAATGACTATGAGAGACATCTGGATGATCAATCGTGTTAAAGTTCTAATTAATTAGTCGCAAGAAAAGATGGAAGTATATATAATGAATTAAAATAGAAACAAGAAGAATGACATGCAGTTACCACTCGACCTTAAGCATAGGATCCAACAAGTTACGGCTGCAAATCAAACAGAGGAGCAACAGCAAATAATAAAAATTAAAGTTTCTGCAGCATGACATTTTTAGTCTTTTCTTTTCTGTGGCAGTGTGCCACCATATCGAAATTTAGAAACCAATTGTATTTTAGGTTGAATAACAAATATTTCATGAAACAGGGGATTCCAAGGTCTGCTTATTGAACTTAAAAAGAAAAAGAAGTTCATTAGAATATCAGCTTTTTTGGGAAAAAGAAAATGAAACTCAAAATCAGAGCAAGTCATCTACCTCACAACTCACCACCAACGAAGAGCAGAGAAATCCTTGTGTTTTGTTTATGGTTTTGCTAAAAGGCTGAGACTTTTTGTAACAACCCCCACAATTAAGGATAAATAAATATTTTTTTTCTTTTAAAACGATAATTACTTCAGAAGGCTAACCATGGTAGGAAGGACAAACAACCTAATCAAATAGAAATCTACCATAGGGAATAACAATCCAAATCTTTAACAAAGTAGTAGTTACTGTTCTAGAATAGTAAAGATAGTTAATCAAATAAAAATGGATCAATATTTGATTTTTCATGTATATATCAAATCCATCAACAATACTCTGGAATCTCAACTACAATTAAGCCCAATTATAAATGGGCTAGGACATTCGAAATCCACCAAAATAACTACCACTGCTGCCCGTTATCAATTGCAATCAAAATAACAATCACATATGTCCAAAAAGGGCTCCGCCAAATAGTACAAGTCTAGAATGCAACGGAAAGGCTATGATTATGTTAAGTATAACAAAAAGGCCCTAAAGTTTGGTAATATACACCAGTCAAATCATGTATACCAAAACAGAGGCTATACAGAGTCGAAAGAGTAACTCAAGCCTTGGACAACTTCCCCTTAGGATCAACACCTGAACCCTCACCTGAAAAATGTTAAATAACCACGGGGTGAGTCAAATTGACCCAATAACCACAATTCCAATTCAACAAGTATACAAGGAGTGATTACAAGATAGTTAAGCAGACAAAGTACAATTTCAAATAACATATAAGTTCAACATCTTTACAGAAAACAATATATAATAATTCGAAAAGTAACTTGCATGCCCAGGACTTCATCATCCATCCTTATAACCTCCTTGTAACCTCTGACAGAACCCATGGGCTATCCACACATAACAAGATTCGTCTCTTTTACAAGACTGCACCAAGCTCTCCAATAATGAGATGTAACTCGGCCAAAATTTACAGAGCTCATATCAGATCATGTGTTCCCTTTCCTTGGAATATGAAAATGTGTCATGTCTCTTGGACTGACCCTTGACCTGGCAAAAGGAAGGGTGATACCGAGGGCCCTAAGAATGTTAATGCCAACCACTGGACGTCAAGTGGCGGCTATACCACGTGGTATAAATAATCAAACCTCTCACAATTACATTTTAGCACAACCAATAGAGCACAATCCAACCATCCAATTCCACACAATTCAATATCCATAAAGTATTCTTAGATTCAATAATCAAATTCGCTCAATATCAACAAGATATTTATAAGATGAAATAATTCATGCCTACTTAACTAATAAATTTATCAAAACATAAATCTTGATATAGATATATAAATTACTTTTCATACAAAAACCACCATAACACATATTGATAACATTTATAATATCAACACATGCTTATAATCACATCAACAAGCATATAAGGTAAATTAGAAAGTGGTTACCTTAAGTTCTTGACACAAGAACTAAAAGTAGGAGAATTCAAGACCCAAGACCCCAAACCAAGCTCACTCTACAATAATAAATTGATAAACATATATTAATATAAAAAGACTAAATAATATAGCATTAAAATAGTTTATTAACTAAATCCCCATAATTGGCTTACCTTAAAAAAATTATCTTTAGGAAAAATAATAATTCATCTATTCTTCCAAGTGACAACTTCTAGTACTTCCCAACTCTATTTCTCTCATTCACATTATTAATAAGAATAATCCCTTCAAATCATCTAAAAATCTCCAAAAAGTGCTTACTTTAACTCTTAGAAAAATAACCATATATCAACTATGCCTTCAATCATTACTAAAATCCTATATGAAAGCTAAGAAAGCTAAGATATGTTCCAATTATGTCCAATAGAAGATAATAACAATAACAACAAGGACAACAACTAATGAATCTATAAATCATAATTATTCAAATAACACGACCAGGGAAATCAAGGGCTTGTTTGGTTTCTTGTTTTGAAAACAATTTTTTGTTTTTAAAAACCGAAAAACAAAAAAAGTTGTTTGGCAATTTGTTTTTAGTTGATTGTTTTAAAAAACAATAATATGTTTTTAAAAATTGAAAAAACCAAAACAACTTTTACATGTTTTCTTGTTTTTGCTTTTGTGTTTTTTATTTTTTTTTTTGTTTTGAAAAATTGGAGAACTCTTCTTCTCTTCTCCTCTACTACCGACTACTCATCACTACCGGTGATAACTACCGCTGGTCAAAGTGTAATTTTTTATATATTTTTTTCAAATATGATTTTTTTAAAAATTATTTTCCAGACAAAGTGTTTTGTTTTCTGTTTCCAAAATTTGTTCTTAAAAACAATTTTATAAAATTGTTTTGAGAATAAGAAAGCAAAGAACAAAAACAAACAGGCCCCAAATCACTAATTCCAAATACTATTCATGGCCACGTCCCGAGTTTCTCGCTGGAGATACTGACACATGTCACAAAAACAGAATGACGAAGAAGGGGGAATTGTGAGAGCACGAAGAGAAATATAGGAACACTTACAAGCATAATAACAGGGAGGAGACTCCATTAGTAGTTTGTATGATTCAACATGAGATAAATGGTGGAAAGAAAGGCGACCGTACGTCATGCCACTATGGAGATGAAAAGTGAGGAAAGACCCAAAATCAACTTTGTGGGTAGGGATTTGAGAAATTTTTCCTGTGAGTAGTGAGAGGTAAGAATTGCTAGAAACATCAGAACCGTAGTTGAAGAGAGGAGCGATAATATAGTTGAGAATATGAAAACCTTAAAATAAGTTTGTTTGATGAGTAACGGTAACCCAAAATCCTAATTATTTCCTCCTGGCACAGTAAAAGCTGCGGTAAACATAATGGTGATGATCAAAGTTCCAACGGCAGAACAATAAGGAGCTTTGTCTTTTATCCATCTTTCTCCTTCCTTCATTAAGTCTTTGTGGTTTTCTTTGAATAATTCTTCAGCCGTAATGCCATAGTTGTTTTGACCTATCCTAATAGTAGTAGGTGTTACTTTCTCCACCGCCTGCATGCATTGCAGTAGACAACTAATTTCGTTTTTGTTTTTCCGCAAAGCTAGACTAAAATAGACACAGCAACTAATTCAACATATGATTGAAATTCATCAAATGTCAACATTATTTTTGAAAAATTAAATCAATACTCCTCCTGTCTTTAATCTAAGACCCATTTAACTAATTTGATTATATTAATAATGTTGGTTAAGTTAGTTAATTATAAGAAATGATATATTTTTTCTAAAATACCATAATCATCTTCCTTAATATCCTTCTCTTCCTACTTTATTATGATTAAGAGAGTATTTATAGAAATAATTTAGGAAAAACTGATAAATATAAGAAATAAGCCCAATATTTATAACTATATTCAACTTTACAAGATCCCATATCAAGAATCAGAGGAGTAACTTCCTAACACCCTATATATTTGACTAATTTAAGCATCTTGCTCTACCTAGCTCCCTTTTAGAGAGAAAGAAATGGCCGTGCCAGCCCCAGATTAGCTATGACTCTCTCTCTCTCTCTCTCTCTGAAACATGTGCTTCTAGAACAAAATGAATTGATCCAATTATTTTTTTACAAAGAAAAAGTTTGTTTTTCCCTCTAACCTTGAACCATTGCAGTTCTCTTTGCATCTGTAATGTTGGCCCATAGATGCGATTAAGAAGGGAAGCAGAAGCTTGGCTAGCTGCAGCATGTAGCAAGCTATTTCCATTTCTATCTCTGCTTGAAGCAAAAACGTTCTTGAAGCGAAGTCCATGAGTAAGGTTGAAAACCCTAACCTGTCGATGCTTGATGGCATGGTGGAAAATGTTTTGATACGAGTTATCTCCAATAAGCAAGATTTCAGGATTTGCTTTTGATATTTGGACCAGAAACTCAACGTTCCCTTCTTTCGCTGCACGAAATAACGCATCTGCAAAAGTACTCACTTGATCTCTTCTTCTTGCATTCTCACAAACAAGCCCAACAATTTCATTTGCTTCTGCTTACAATAACTTGAGCTCTTTTATTTTCTCGGTCCCCACAATGATACGTAACACGTCTTTTTTGTTAGCTGAGTTGATGGGAATTGATTTCAGTACATATATATCAATAATATCAATCATCATTGTCGTCAATATCAAATGTGAGATATATATTAAGTTATACTGTTCATATGACATAAACAATGCAGTTCTTTTACTAGACTCCATCAAGTATACGGAATTTAATAAAAAGCTTCAGAGAGGTATGTAATTTTTGGAACAATGATGTATTATTTAGCAGATATGCATGCCTACCTATAAGATTATAGGAAGAGGAAACGAGCCATTGAAGCAAACGATGTCCTGCTGAAACTTGAAAAAGAAAGGGAAAAAGGGACCATTAATGCTTTTGTTTCGTGTCTTCTTCTGTAAGAATGTTTAATTAAAGATGAAGACACCTTGAATCCCCAAAAAAATTTTAAAAAAAAAATAAAAAAAGACGCATTTTGCTACGCATTCTTCTGTAAGTTTTCCCTGTGCTCTTTCCCTTGTGTCTTCACGTTGGATGGGTAAAGAAGCACGTTGGAGGCTTGGAGGTGAATTCGTATCTATATCTAACATTAGCAAATCAAGCAGGTAAAAGAATAAACTTCATTAAATAGATATATGAAATGAATCAAACAAGAAAACAAAAGGAGTATAGTCTCATGAATTTTTTTGCAATATCATTCTGTAACATCCCAAATTTTCTAACTTAGGAAAAGCAGAAAAGAGAAAATTTATAAAATTATCTAAAGCCTAAATGAAAATGGGGAAAATTATAGGAAATTATTTTGGAGGGTTTGTAAATTTTATGGAAAAGCCTATTTCCCCAAAAATGACTTAAATAATTTTAAAGTTAATTTTTGGAGTAGAAATGGCTTATTTTTCTAGAAAATTTAAGCAGAAATACGTAGAGGCTTAGTTTTGAGCTGAAAATTTTAGGATAATTATTTTATGAAGTAAAGAAGCTAATTGGGTATAAAATCCTTAAAATGGGTTGAGGATTAATTTATAAAATTAAGGGTTATTTTCTTAGAAAATTCAAGCAAAATAGTTAGGAGTTGACTTTTGATCCAAAATTTTTAGAGAAACTATTTTATGAGTCAAAGAAGCTAATGGATAATATAAATCCATATAAAAGATTATGGATTAATTTGAGTTTATCTTATATTTCAGAAAAATAGAGAAAGGGATGAAATTCAGAATAAGGGAAGGAAATGAAGGGCATAGTTGTCATTTAGCTTCACCACTTCCCTCTCACGTGCCATGCCCTTTTAATCTTCAGAAACTCTCCCCACCTCATTTGCATCCGAAGGCAAAGGTTGTGATCGGAGGTGCTTGGGTCACATGCAAACCGATTGACTTTGGAAGGTGAACTTCCTGATCAATCTCCTGTCTTTTTCTTTTCTGTTTTCAGTGTATTCTAGCTGTAATGGATGGGGGAGAGAGAGAGTTGGGGTAGGGAGAGAAAGTGAAGAAACGAGGAGGAGGACCGATGGGTTCGTGTCTTGTGGCTAGATTGAGGTATTTGACACTGATTTTTGAGCTTGCGTGTGGGTTTGAAGACTGCATGTCAGTCTGAAAATTTCATGCGCCTCTTTCGGTCTGAAGGTTTCTCTCTTCGTCTCTGTTTTCTGAATCCGAAACAGGGGAGAGTTTGGGAGCTACAGATGTCGGGATTATGGGAGAACAAGATAATAATGAAGGTTTGCTGTTTCATGTCGATTCTTGCTCCGTTCGAACTCGGCCGAACAGAGGAGTGTGTTCCTCTAAGTTTTAATTCTGAATCTTGTTCAGGTGGATGGATTAATGTTTGCTTAAGTTAGATATGGCCCTGCATGTGAAAGTACGAAAGAGGGATGCTATTTAATGTGCTTATCTTGCTTTGATTGTTGCTGGCCGAGAGTAACCGAATCTAGAAACTAAAACGTTGGCTTTAAGGCGTTGGATTGTATTGATGTTGGCTTGGTTTTGGTTGAAGGATAAGAATGAAGTGTGGTGTGTATATATTCGATTGCTTGTGTATACTGAACATGGGAACTGATAGTTAATGACATATAAATCTGGAAAATTTTCAGATTTGTCATATAGGAACGTTTGGAGTGCTTGGGTTTATATATGTATGTATATGCTCGGTCTCTAGGTGTAGTTGCTGCCCCTATGTGTTAGAAATTGATTCCTCAAATGCCGGGATAATTGTAAAGATCTGGAATTTCTAGATTTGAAGAGTGGGCCGAGGGATTGTTTGATTTCGGGTTCTTTGGGATTAAAAGTTAAGAAATGGGAGAGAGTTAGATAGTAAACTATGTGAAGCTTAATGTTCAGGTTCTAAATACTTAATGATTATTTTGTGAGACTAAACTATGCTTACAGATTTAAAATAAAGATTCTGATGCGGTTTTGGAAAGTGAATATAATTTTTGAACCTGTGATCATGCGTTAATATATAAGCATATATGTATATGATTTTGCAGGTTGCATAAGTGCATATGTGGTTGGATTAATTGGGTGGTGATGGCCGAACGATTAAGGGAAAAATTTACGTTTGAAATTTAGAAAGAACTGAACTTGGCTTGTGACTTGAAGTTATTGGGGAAAAAGGAGAAGAGAAATCAAATCGGAAAATAGCTACATAATAGGTACAAGATGTGAATGTGATAATAGAAAGATATTTGTTGTCAATTGATGAAGAGAAGAAACTGTCTTTGTTTCTTTAGAATATAAGTGTTAATTGAAGTTAAATGAGGGTTAAATTAATATATATAAATATGTATATATGTATATATCTCTTTAGTTTTTTCATGACGACCAACCACTTGATAAAAGTGGAGCCAGATTTGGAGAGGAGGAAGACACGACTTTGTCCTTAAAATATAATAAATAAAAATAATAGTTTTTTTACTAAGATGACCAGTTACTAAGTAAAGTAACTCTATAGGTTGAGATAAGTAAGAAAACCTTCCAAAGAGAACAGTTTGAATAAAAAAAATTATCCAAGATGACCAACTACTAAGTAAAGATAAAGATTAAAGAAGATTTGGGATTTAAAGAGTTATTTAATTTATGAATTACAGCTGAATCAAGTATTGAATGACCCTTATGAATATGATAAGTTTTGATATCTTCTCAAGCCCACAAAGGAAGCAAAGGAAGAAGAAATTTGTAAGGTTTGATTTGGAGAGAAGTGGATTAGGTAGTAATTCTTTCCTACCTTACACTTTTGTATGATTATTGCATCTCTGTTTGTACCATAATGTTGTTTTAAAGCATGAGAACATGTAATCCTTAATTCATTGTATGGATTATTTAGTTGTGATCACGTATAGCTAATAGACATGGAGTAGTATCTGTCAATTATTTGTGCATTATTTATTTAGCTTGTCTACTTGTTATTACGCATAAATGCTTAATCACATTAGCTTGCAAGGTTATGTTTGACTTTGGCTAATTGTGCATGCTTTATGTAATCTGCATTTGTGTTTGCTGGAAATTACTGCTACGATGATTCTTTAGAATCTTATCCTCCCCTCCATGATACACAGCAAAGGCAAGCAACTCTAAAGAAAAGAAGATTGTAAGAGAAAAAAGTGGGCAATTATGAAGAGCAGGAATGCTTGCATTATTCTGTACTTATATAGTTGCTTATTTTATTAGCAAAGTTAATTATACTGTTGTACATATAATCACAACAAGTAACCAATACTTGCTTTGTGTAGATATTCTCTTGTACCCTTTATAAGGATATTTGCATAAATTGAGCACAAGTAAGTGCCATCAATCGAGATGGCTTTGGTATAGCTATATATAATTTATATTCATTGCTAACCTTTGATCCCTGTTTCTACCTAGGGATAGTGACCTGTTAATTAATTAAGGCTTCAGGTCTCTTATTAAGCTACAAAAGAATAGAGTTTGATTGTAGGTCACTAGTCGGGGTTTTTGAAAGTTTTGAATTTCTTTAACAATGAATTTCAATGTCATTTATAGGTTCAATCTTGCATTCAAATTTTGTTTTCAAATGGTTCATGTTTTAAATGGAAAAAAAAAAAAGTATCCCACTTTTCTTAGGAGAGAAACCTGGCTTAGTGATTCACATGACCCTATTAGTATATAAAAGTTAGGTGTCGCACGTTCAATATATATTATTTTAGGTATAATTAGTCCTTTGTTGAGTGACAAAACTTTATCTATAATTAGTTTTCATACTATTCTTAGCGATTCTGTGCATATTTTGTGCCATATAATGCTGCACCCTAGAATCTAGACAAAAGAGAGCATATAATATAAACCAGTAAAAAATGTAAATGTAACAGTATAATAAGAAAGAAAAATTAGATCCTAGAAATATCCAAGTGGTGATAATACTGTTAGTCATGGATCCATCGTTACGTGCCGTGAATCGACGCAAAAAGCAATTCTTGGCATTGATCAAGCAAGTGGCGAGCAATATCTGTGTATCAATATCACTTAATGAACTGACAATCATTATTGGCAAAAAAAATATCCTAATCCATAATGTAAGAACTAATTAACAAATTTGGGTAAATTGAGAAAGCTAAATAAATTACTTAATTCTAGTAAATGTAATTAATATGGTCTTCCAAAAATACCTTTATGAGACATTAGATTTTAAATATATATATTTATATATATCATTTTATAAGTTAGATAGAGTAGTTTAGGAAACAAGTAATAAATAATTAAATATAAAGGATAAAATGGTCTGAGATCTTATATTTAGGATAAAAATCAACTTCTTAACTAGCTTGTACATTTAAAATCGAATGAGTGCTAAATATATAAGGGAAAATGACAAATAAAGAAGGCTGAATATATGACATATCAATTTGGGAAGATAAGGATTTCTTATCATAAAGAGGGAAATCCTTCCCAAATTAGAATTTTGAAATTCAGTGAAATGACAAACATGACCTTTTTTTTTTTTTAAAGGCCTCATACTAGTGGTTGGGCACCAGCTGCTGGTGTGTTGTCAGCCGGTGGATTTTTTTTTTTTTGTCATAGATTTTTTGTTGGCCATGTGATAATATTTCAAGTAGGGGTGAGCAACAAACCCATTACCCGCTAGCCCGCCCATAACCCATGAAATTTTTACCCATTTAAGCCCGCCCAATTAGCCCAAATAAGAGATTATAAACGGGCGGGCTTAAATGGGCGGGGTAGCCCATTAAACGACTTGGGCTATGGGCAAGGTATTGGGTTGCCCATACCCGCCCATTTAAGTTTTAAGTTTTTAAAATATTTTTATTCTTCATCTAATTGATGATATTGTTTCTCATTCATATTTTATCAAACCTTCATAC